TGTACAAAGTGAAAAAAAAATAAAACAAATTAACAAAATATTTAAATAATCGATACATGGAAATTTATCAATCAACCTGCAGCGATTTTCGATCAAGTTCCTCCATACAAAATAAGAGATAAAGTATTTCACTTTACGTGGTCGTTTAATAAATTTAAACTACCCTAAAATGTACGAAATAATGAACATAAAGCCTTGTCACTAACGAAAAATTTCTCTCTTGTTTAGGTAATCTTTTGTATTTCAAATACACACAAGCATTATGTATGGCTTTGATATTTGTCTCAAACAGCAAAAACGCGAATGCAGAAAGCCGTGGATTAGGTATGAAGACGACGGCTTTTGACATGTTGATCCATAAAGTCATGTATAAATAACAATATATGTTTGCAATTTATTAACAACAATTTAGTTTCTTAAGCAAATTTTAATGATATAGTCAAAGTTCAACGCTTAAACGATATACCATTATGTATATTTTTAATATTTAGCACTTGAAGATGAAGTTGTCTCAATTTACAGCAAAAACTTCACAAATATTCCCAAGGACAGGGAGCCATTTTATGTAAAGGTACATCGATGTGTACTCAACATGACAGACGACGGTTACAATGTTCCAGGTCTCGAATATTATCCCCAACCCACAAAAATGAAAGAAATTGAGATCGTCGTTGCTGATTTAAAAAGCTACAAGAAGTTTTATAAATATATTGTCTACGATCACATTTCTTGTAACTGGAAGAAGTGGTTAGGCCAGCCAATGAACTTTGATTTACACAAGAACCTTACTTCAAACGAAAGTAAGCCGGATTACTGAATGTGAGAATGACGTTGAATAGCCACAGCTTAACTTAAAAACTTCATTTTTTTCTTACAGTTAACGAAACAGAATTTAAATCTAAGGTTAAATACAATCCACCAAACGTGAGAGGATGTAATGACTACTGCAAGAATCAACAGCCACGTTTTAATGTACACAGTGAACCCATGGCAGTTAATATAGATCAACTTTTCATACCATTCAAACAATGCCTGCCTGGTTGCAAAGCAACAGAGAACATTCGCAATGCTAGCACGAAACTCAAAAATGGACATACATCTTGCGCATTCTTGCGCATTCTATAAGCATTTAAAGATCATAAGACATACATCTTGCAATCCTTGGAGCCCATCTACGCAATCACAAACCGATAGCAATTTACTGGCTGTTTTAAACATCTCGAAATCACACAGTTTGAATAAACATCAAAGGGGAAGTGATGAAGGTATGAATCTCTATGATATACTTGTAAGAAAAAACAAAGCAAAGTTATGTTCATCACTTAAAGAAGTATACTTTTGTACACACTTGCATTTATGTTTCATCATTCTCTTTATTACTTCATTCCTATTAAAATTTCTTCACAGATATCAAACACATTTTGTTAAATAAAGGATTGTTCCTCTACTCCCGCATCACCCAAAATGATTTTTTTGCGCTTTTGTTCTCACAATTGTCCTCATTTCAATACTTATTCTGACTGCAGTCTGTGTTGTCGTAAAAAAGGAATAATGTATTTGTTGTTGACTTGTGGAAAGAAAAAGGAGTGCAAAGATTGCATCAAAAGCAAGCAAACTATGATCGAAATGATTGTGTAGATTGTTGCAAAGGAGAAACAGAGAGAAAAGAGAGCAGAGATCCGGATCAAGTCTTGGATATCAGGCTGGAGAGAAGAGGATGAATGCAAAAGAGTGAGAAGAATGCAGAGTGTAACCTGAAGCGAGACATGACACAAAACAAGATGCCAATAAGAGAAAATATGAATTTAGAATGTATGAACTATATACAAATACAACAAACTCTCTCCTTGCAGACAGCCCCGCTATTAAAGAGTGTTTGTACATCCCCCACGCCTAAAAGTATTATTAAAAGCACTGAAATTACTCTCTCTAAAGTTCAGGCACTTCACATATTTCTTTTATTGTTCCTTTCTTGTAAGATGGGATTTTTCTAGAATAACACGAAAGTGAATGAAAGTTTCATGGTTTCTGTAACTCTGTTTCTATCTTTTTTTTGTCTTGAATTGATTCATCAAGGGAGATAATTGTATTTTCATAAAAAGCATTTAAATATCTCAAAAACAAACTGGTTTAAGGCAGTCCAAACTCCCTTAGCAGAGCCTCCTCCCTTGAGCAATAAAGTGATTTAGCAAAAACGACGTTTCGACTAATAAGTCGTCAAATTTTCGCGAGGGATCTGGGTCTAGGACGCCACCACGTCGTAAAGTATTTATGATTTAGCAAACCTTTTGTAGGACTTCGTTAAATCATAGTATGAAACAAGTTTCATCCATTTCGGCATTTTTCCTGCTGAATCGTGTTTTCCGATGATTTTTAAACCAAATTTTGATATCAAAATATACTGCAGTATATTTATTTTTAAAATTATAAATAAAAGCAAAATCATCGAAATGCGGCTTTGTGACTAAAATTGTTTTGACTCGAGGAAGCCCCGAAATTAGGGGCAGACCTCACTTTGTTTATTTGTTTGTGTTTTTTCGCTTTAGGAAATAAAACATTCATGTTTTCTTAAATGAATATATGTAGGCCTATATAATATTTTAGGAGAGGCAAATATCAAAATAATTCCGTCGCCGACACGACGTCAAATTGTATGTTTTCACGTCGAAGCCGTCAACACAACTGCCGTCGTAGATTGAACCGGAAGTAAAGCGCATGCCACGCCATTTTCATGGCGTCTTAAAATAGATCACCGAAAGTCGCAAAGATTTTACTGACGTTGAAAAATTTTTGTTATTGACAGCCATTCCATGAAATATGGCTACTTAAATTTTACAACATAGCCATATGCATAAAGCGCTGTTGTTTTTTTCATTAACCGCGACTATCGATAGTCGTTAATATAATTCCGTTATTATAGCAAACGATACTGTTGACCAAAAAGTGTTTGATTTCTCTCTTTCAGAGTATAGGACAGTTGATAAATTAAAATATGCAACAGCGATAAATTCCAGTTAGACCTTAGGCATGCTTGGTCAAGTTCTTTTTTGCACAATAGACAAACACGTACAGTCGATAGTTCTGCTCTTTGTCACCACCATTTATATGGTGTGCGAATTAGTCAATATTACGAACGCTCTCACTAACCACTTGAAAAACATGAATTTTAATACGAAGTGGCACGGACATAATACCAACTCTGCAATTCTAATAGGAAGAAACACTCAGAAATACCACTCAAAAACACCCCCCTCCCCTCCTCACAATAAATTAGGACACTTCATGAATTATTTGAATGACCAAATGTTACACGTGAACACTGTGCGTTTACCCCGTGCTGTAGCACGCCTTTTTCTCGAATGTTTTGCGCGTGCTGTTTTTCGAATTTAAAAATCTCTTATTTATCTTACTCAAGAAAAAATGAGTAAGAATCAATTTACTCAACAGGGGCCGGTTGCACAAGCCTGTATAGCGTAAACCATTGGATGGTAAAATTTTCAAACTTGTAAAAAAGATGTTTGTTTTTATATTTTCACATTACGACAAAGAAATTTTATAATCTAAGAGTTTTACTTAAAATATTGATTGAGAATGACTGACTCACGTTTTAAGTAAAAGTACGCTTAATTGCTGAGTAAAAAACTCGTTCAAAGTGAGTACCAATTACTCAGCGATAACAACTACTAAAAATTTTGACTAACAGCTTTAATCCAGAAAAGAGTAAAATTGATCATTACGCCACAATGAGTGAAACTTACTCAAAAAGTTGCGTACGAATTCGAGTTACTCAAACATTGTGTATAATTTACTCAAGCATTTTTGCAGTGTGAAAGAAGCCAGAGGGAAATTCTGAGAGTCGTGCGTCAGCACGGGTCCGTTTGACAGTATATGTATTGTCCTCTAAGATGCTCTTTCAAACATCAAGGCTTCCGTTGAAGTGCCTTGCAGGGTGTCGTGAGCCAAATTTTACACTTGGTGTACACATTCTATATTCAATACAGTTTTGTACCAACGAACGTAAGGTGTTGGTTATTGTGCTATCGTGACAGTAGGAAGATTGATAATTAAGGAGGTTCACATTCATGAGAGAATGTTATCGTTTATCTGGAACAATGCATGATTATTTCAAATACAGTAATAATAAACAATTAACAATTTCAACAAGTGCATGAATCATCATAATCATGTTACGGCAGCAATTCGCCCACAACAGGAAATGTTAGGTAAATGTACTTCGAGGAGAGAAAAATTTTTTTCGTTGGGGTTTACCGCAAGGAGGTGAATTATACCTTAAATACAATTGAGTACGGTATAAAATGAGGCAGCATTTTGTAGCAATACAAACAGGCATAAACAGCAGACTTGTGAGGTGTTAAGTAACAAGAAAAGAAACTTACTTGTTTGTTGTATCTTGAAGTGAACCAGAATCTGAAAAAAATGGGTAAGTAAAAATAATGCTTTGCAATTGTGGAAATTGTAATACATATGTAGATTTCATAAATACATCGTAATATACAATTGTTGGATGAGGTTGGGCATGACATCAATATTCAGATCGATATCAATAATATTGTCGAAAAGCAAAGCTAAGGCGAATAACATAGACCGAAGTATAAATAATCCTTGATATCATATGAAAGCTGAATTTAATATTTGTATTATTAGTCATCTTAACAAACTCTTTGTAGATACGATGTCACAATTACAGTATCAAGAATTATTTGCAGGTACTTGACCAATAAAACGGTCAATGTTTACATAGTGAATAATAATGGGGACATATAAATTGACATTGGGCTATAAATGGACGGGGCCTTAGTTCACTGACTTGAATCACCTCGAATACACAAAATTAGTATTAATATTAGATTAACCGAAGCATCCTCTCGTGAAACCCTTGCTATGCTTTAATAAAACACGCAATCTAACTTTATACAACGTAAAAATAGCCATGAAACAGGCTCTTTGATTTAACAAGTTAACGTTTATCTCGTTTAGGTGCCATTGCCAACTTTTCACAGGCATTATGGGTGGTTTTCGCATTTGTCTTATGCAGCAAAAACGTTAATGGAGGAAACAATGGATTAGGTAGGAAAACAAATGACTTTTATTATTCATTTACACAGCGACAGGTTTTTGAAGATATAGTTCACTTTATTGAATAATAACTTTTTCAATATCCAGCCCTCGAAGATGAAGTTGTCTCAATTTACAGCAAAAACTTCACAAATATTCCCAAGGACAGGGAGCCATTTTATTTAAAGGTTCATCGATGTGTACTCAACATGAAATACGACGGTTACAATGTTCCAGGTCTCGAATATTATCCCCAACCCACAAAAATGAAAGAAATTGAGATTGTTGTGCCTGATTTAAAAAACTACAAGAAGTTTTATAAATATATTGTCTACGATCACATTTCTTGTAACTGGAAGAAGTGGTTAGGCCAGCCAATGAACTTTGATTTACACAAGAACCTTACTTCAAACGAAAGTAAGCCGGATTACTGAATGTGAGAATGACGTTGAATAACCACAGCAACTTAAAAACTTCATTTTGTTCTTACAGTTAACGAAACAGAATTTAAATCTAAGGTTAAATACAATCCACCAAACGTGAGGATGTAATGCTACTGCAAGAATCAACAGCCACGTTTTATGTACACAGTGAACCCATGGCAGTTAATATAGATCAACTCTTCATACCATTCAAACAATGCCTGCCTGGTTGCAAAGCAACAGAGAACATTCTCAATGTTAGAACGAAACTCAAAACTGGCTTCTATACGCATTTCATTATCATAAAACATACATCTTGCAATCCTTGGAGCCCATCTACGCAATCACAAACCGATAGCAATTTACTTGCTGTTTGAACACCTCGAAATCACAAAGTTTCACTAAACATCAAAGGTGATGAAGGTATGAATCTCTATGATGTACTTATAAGAAAAAACTACGCAATGTTATGTTCATCACTTAAGAAGTATACTTCTTGCAAGCACTTGCATTTATGTTTCATTATTCTCTTTATTATTTCATTCCTATTAAAATTTCTTCATAGATATCAAACACATTTTGTTAAATAAAGGATTGCTCCTCTACATCACATCACCCAAAATGATTTTTGCTGCTTTTGTTCTCACAATTGTCCTTATTTCAATACTTATTCTGGACTGCAGTCTGTGTTGTCGTAAAAAAGGAATAATGTATTTGTTGTTGACTTGGGAAGAAAAAAGAGTGCAAAGATACTTGAAAAACAAAGCAAACTATGATCGAAATGATTGTGTAGATTGTTGCAAAGGAGAAAAACAGAGAGAAAAAGAGAGCGCAGAGATCCGGATCAAGTCTTGGATATCAGGCTGGAGAGAAGAAGATGAATGCAAAAGAGTGAGAAGAATGCAGAGTGTAACCGCAAGCGAAGACATGACACAAACAAGATGCCAATAAGAGAAAATATGAATTTAGAATGTATGAACTATATACAAATACAACAAACTCTCTCATCCTGAGCCAGCCGCTATTAAAGAGTGTATGTACACCCCACGCCTAAAAGTATTATTAAAAGCACTGAAATTACTCTCTAAAAGTTCAGGCACTTCACATATTTCTTTTATTGTTCCTTTCTTGTAAGATGGGATTTTTCTAGAATAACACGAAAGTGAATAGAAAGTTTCATGGTTTCTGTAACTCTGCATATCACCATTAATTGTTCAAAACATCATTCATGTGGCTTCCCTTGAAATAATAGAAGTGAACATTTTCAAGATAATCAAAATTTCATCATTTGTTAAATGTAAATAAAATCCATCAATAATTCAAATTGGATATAAAAATATTTATATTTTTAAAAAATTATAAATAAAAGCAAAATCATCGACATGCGGCTTTTGTGACTAAAATTGTTTTGACTCGAGGAAGCCCCGAAATTAGGGCAGACCCACTTTGTTTATTTGTTTGTGTTTTTTTTCGCTTTAGGAAACAAAACATTCGCTGTTTTTCTTAAATGAATATATGTAGGCCTATATAATAATTTAGGAGAGGCAAATATCAAAAATAATTCCGTCGCCGATACGACGTCAAATTGTATGTTTTCACGTCGAAGCCGTCAACACAACTGCCGTCGTAGATTGAACCGGAAGTAAAAAGCGCATGCCACGCCATTTTCACGACGTCTTTTTGTTGTCACACTCTAAAAATTTTTGTTATCGACAGCCATTCCATGAAACATGGCTACTTAAATTTTACAACATAGCCATATGCATAAAGCGCTGTTGATTTTTCATTAACCGCGACTATCGAAAGTTGTTTAGATAATTAAGTTTTTATAGCAAACGATACTGTTGACCAAAAAGTGTTTGATTTCTCTCTTTTAGAGTATAGGACAGTTGATAAATTAAAATATGCAACAGTGATAAATTCCAGTCAGACCTTAGGCATGCTTGGTCAAGTTCTTTTTTGCACAATAGACAAACACGTACAGTTGATAGTTCTGCTCTTTGTCGACCATTTATATGGACGTGCGAATCAGTCAATATTACGAACGCTCTCACTAACCACTTGAAAAACATGAATTTTATTACGAAGTGGCACGGACATAATACCAACTCTGCAATTCTAATAGGAAGAAACACTTAGAAATACCACTCAAAAACACCCCCCTCCCCTCCTCACAATAAATTAGGACACTTCATGAATTATTTGAATGACCAAATGTTACACGTGAACACTGTGCGTTTACCCCGTGCTGTAGCACGCCTTTTTCTCGAATGTTTTGCGCGTGCTGTTTTTCGAATTTAAAAATCTCTTATTTATCTTACTCAAGAAAAAATGAGTAAGAATCAATTTACTCAACAGGGGCCGGTTGCACAAAGCCTGTATAGCGTAAACCATTGGATGGTAAAATTTTCAAACTTGTAAAAAAGATGTTTGTTTTTATATTTTCACATTACGACAAAGAAATTTTATAATCTAAGAGTTTTACTTAAAATATTGATTGAGAATGACTGACTCACGTTTTAAGTAAAAGTACGCTTAATTGCTGAGTAAAACAAACTCGTTCAAAGTGAGTACCAATTACTCAGCGATAACAACTACTAAAAATTTTGACTAACAGCTTTAATCCAGAAAAGAGTAAAATTGATCATTACGCCACAATGAGTGAAACTTACTCAAAAAATTGCGTACGAATTCGAGTTACTCAAACATTGTGTATAATTTACTCAAGCATTTTTGCAGTGTGAAAGAAGCCAGAGGAAAATTCTGAGAGTCGTGCGTCAGCACGGGTCCGTTTTGACAGTATATGTATTGTCCCTCTAAGATGCTCTTTCAAACATCAAGGCTTCCGTTGAAGTGCCTTGCAGGGTGTCGTGAGCCAAATTTTACACTTGGTGTACACATTCTATATTCAATACAGTTTTGTACCAACGAACGTAAGGTGTTGGTTATTGTGCCATCGTGACAGTAGGAAGATCGATAATTAAGGAGGTTCACATTCGTGAGAATGTTATCGTTTACATCTGGAACAATGCATGATTATTTCAAATACAGTAATAATAAACAATTAACAATTTCGACAAGTGCATGAATCATCATAATCATGTTACGGCAGCAATTCGCCCACAACAGGAAATGTTAGGTAAATGTACTTCGAGGAGAGAAAAATTTTTTTTCGTTGGGGTTTACTACCGCAAGGTGAATTATACCTTAAATACAATTGAGTACGGTATAAAATGAGGCAGCGTTTTGTAGCAATACAAACAGGCATAAACAGCAGACTTGTGAGGTGTTAAGTAACAAGAAAAGAAACTTACTTGTTTGTTGTATCTTGAAGTGAACCAGAATCTGAAAAAAATGGGTAAGTAAAAACAATGCTTTGCAATTGTGGAAATTGTAATACATATGTAGATTTCATAAATACATCGTAATATACAATTGTTGGATGAGGTAGGGCATGACATCAATATTCAGATCGATATCAATAATATTGTCGAAGCAAAGCTAAGGCGAATAACATAGACATGATATGTTTTCACGTCGAAGCCGTCAACACAACTGCCGTCGTAGATTGAACCGGAAGTAAAAAGCGCATGCCACGCCATTTTTACGACAAGTTATGTTCATCACTTAAGAAGTATACTTCTTGTAAACACTTGCATTTATGTTTCATCATTCTCTTTATTATTTCATTCCTCTTAAAATTTCTTCACAGATATCAAACACATTTTGTTAAATAAAAGATTGTTCCTCTACATCACATCACCTAAAATAATGGTTGCTGCTTTTGCTCTCTCAATTGTCCTCATTTCAATACTCATTCTGGACTGCAACCGTGTTGTCGTAAAAAAGGAATAATGTATTTGTTGTTGACTTGTGGGAAGAAAAAGGAGTGCAAAGATTGCATCAAAAGCAAGCAAACTATGATCGAGATGATTGTGTAGATTGTTGCAAAGGAGAAAATGGCGAGAAAAAGAGATCTAGAGCGCAGAGATCCAGATCAAGTCTTGGATATCAAGCTGGAAGAAAATTGAAATCAAAAGAGAGCAGAATGCAGAGTGTTACCGCAAGCGAAGACATGACACAAACAAGATGTCAATAAGACAAAATATGAATTTAGTACGCATGAACTGTATCTAAATACAAAGGACAGATCCTTGCAGACAGCCCGCTATTAAAGAGAGTTTGTACAGCGCCGCCTAAAACTACTATTAAAAGAGTAGCGAGAGACTTGCCGAGTGGAAATCGAATTCGTGTAATAGAAATTAATGCCCAACAAAGTTTTGATTAGAGCCATAGAAATAGACCAGAAAAATTGTAAAATTGAATTTATTGTAACGTTTCGTCTTTACTCAAGACAAATAATAAATAGGATGTTAAGACAAAATATTATATTTACAAAAAGGTGTTAAATTACTACGAAAGGAGGCGGTGTCAAATGGATTATATCATAAGGAAGTTAGGAAGTAAAATAAAGAGAGATTAAAAGAGGTTAAGTGGAATGGAATTTCCTTGCACATTAAGTGAAGGCTTGTATTTATTGATTAGAAGGTTCTCATGAATGGAGAGTTCATAAGAATCGTTGGAAGAGGAGATTATATTAAAGTCGTCTAATTTGGGGGTGTGTCCAGTTGCGTTAATGTGAGCAAAAATGCTTAATAACGCAGGGTGGGAAACTTGGTTGCCTGTAAGGGGGGATATTCCCATATGCTCCGAAAATCTGGTGTGTAGATGGCGTGTGGTTTGACCCACATACGAGGCGTTGCAGCTTCGACACTTGAATAAATAGACTACACCAGATCTCAGAGGTTTGAGAATTTTGTCCTTAAAGGGGAAGAAAGAAGAGATACGTTCGCAAGGGCGGAAAACAAATTTAATAGATATATGTGCGAAGGCTGCAGCACAAAGGCTATTGATTTGTATGCGAATTTGAAGGGAGTGTATGCCGGTGAAAGGAAGACAGAAATAGATGGGCATTTTGTGAGCAGTCAAGACAGGTGGTTTAGGGGCAAAGGTGTTGTTAAGGAAGCGACGTGTGATTTGGTCAATTATGTGTGAAGGAAAACCGTTTTTGGTGAGTGATTTTCTGGTAAATTCGAGTTGTGTATGAAAATTTTCGTAAGTAGAACAAAGGTTGAAGATGCGGTGTAGTAAGCAGGAGACTAGTGAAAGTTTGGAAGTAAGTGGGATGAAGCTGTGGAAGTTAGTGAAGAGGCCAGTGAAAGTAGGTTTGCGGTAGAAGGAAGTGGTGAATTTTCCATTAGTGCGAGAGATGTCAATGTCAAGAAATGATAGTTTTCTGTTTTGTTCGATTTCAGCTGTAAATGTGATGTTAGGGTGCTCTCGGTTCAGATAGTCAAGAAAGAGAGGGACGTGATCGGAGGGATGAAAAAGTAAAAAACAGTTGTCAACTTAGCGTCGGTAAAGTAGTGGTTTGAATGAAGAAGGACATTTATTAAGCCAGGATTGTTCGTGAGATGACATGAATATATCAGCAAAGAGAGGGCCCAATGGACTGCCAATAGCCACACCATGCTGAGAGGACGCGTATGCAAGCGTGTTTCCCGTTTATTTCTTCTTGAAGGAGTTTATTTTGGCATTGGTGATAAGCGCTAGAGTTTTGTAAACGACGACTAGCTACTTTAAACCACAGAAATCTTGGTATCACAGAGCGCTTTCTGCATGTCGTAAGAAAATCCAAGTCGAGTTTGGCTTTTCCCAGCTTAAGTTCAAGTCGTTGGAATTTTCTAAATGCTTCGAGTGCTCCATTATTATAGCGATTATTTAAAATAGTAGCGAGAGACTTGCCGAGCGGAAATCGAATTCGTGTTAATTACGACAATCATACATAGCGCCTGACGAAAACAACCATGTTATTTGCCTAAACGCACGCACTTT